ATGCCTTGATTATTGTGAATACAATGAAGGGACTGTAAAATAAGTAGAGACAGCTGTGTCCATCAGAGCAAGCATCATGGGAATTTGTGCCAAAGGGTGGAGGGAACAAGTAATGAGAGCTGATAGAGAACTGTTAACAGAACATATCTACTGTGATGAGAAAGGAGACACCTTTGTATTTGGATGTAAAGAAAAAGTGGCCGTGAGCAGCTGTCTGATGTGGAAATATAAAACCCAGGCATGATTACAAAAACAAAAGACAAAGAGTGATAGATGTCATTAGCAGTAATTTTCAGTGTCCTTAAATTGAAAGATAGATATGAAGTCTCCAGAGAGACTAAAGGAATGTACAGTAAACAATCTCTTTCCATTGGCCTCTATGTTTACTTTGAGGAGGACAAATTATTCCTTAAAATCTTAATATTATTTCTTGATGTTAATATTTATGTTCTTTGTTGATGTTAAAGAGAAATAATAAATGTAACAAATGGAAATGCAAATTTGGCTTTAAAATATAAAATTATTTTTAATTTTGGGAAAAGGAGCTTTGCTTTTTATGTTAAGAAATAAATTTGTGGCCGGGCACTGTGGCTGATGCCTGTAATCCTAGCACTCTTGGAGGCGGAGGTGGGAGGATTGCTTGAGCTCAGGAGATTAAGGCCAGTCTGAGCAAGAGTGAGGCCTCATCTCTACTAAAAATAGAAAAAATTAGCCAGATGTTATGGCACACATCTGTAGTCCCAGCTACCTGGAAGGCTGAGGCAGGAGGATCACTTGAGCCCAGGAGTTTGAGGTTGTTGTGAGCTAGGCTGACACCATGGCACTCTAGCCTAGGCAACAGACTGAGACTCTGTCTCAAAAAAAGAAAAAGTTAAACCTATCTGTAGTCTTCTGGGTTCTACATAAGGTGGACAAGGCCACCATGGTGTTTTCAGGGCTTGGGCAGGTGACTGATATGTAGTGGACACTTAGTGAATATGTATACAATGAACTAGTGACTTTTCCATTGTTTGTACACAATTTCTACCCATTGATCCTTACAATGACAGTATCTTGAAATTCATGATATGTTTCATATACAGGAAAATAATCCAAATATAATATAGGAGCTTTAAACACAAAGCTTTTAGAACTGTAACAGGGTCATTAATCATGTACAAGATGGTTAAATATATTTCTGAAATGGTATTTAATACTGTGTGTTTGCATGTTTTTCTGGGGATTGTGTTCATAGTCTTTTTGGACATTATAAATATGTGGTCCTTTGTGACTAGTGTTTTTCACTAACTATAGATATAATCAGTGTTCTCCATTTTGCAGTATTTCTCAGATCTTCATTTTTTTTCCTGTATTCTATTGTAAGGATATATCACATTTTATCTGTTCATCAGTTGGTAGACATTTGATTTGTTTCTACTTTGGGGCTATCGTAGATAATGCTTGTATAAACACTACTGTACAAGATTTTATGTGGAAATATGTTTTCAGTTCTCTTGGTGTGAACCTTTTGTTACAAGTTTCTGTAATTTTGTTTTCAGTTTCCCTGGTGGCTAATGACACTGAACATTTTCATTTGCTTACTCACCATTTGTGTATCTTCTTTGCCCATTTTTATTTATTTATTTTATTTTTTTATTTTTATTTTTTTTTGAGACAGAGTCTCACTTGTTGCCCAGGCTAGAGTGAGTGCCGTGGCGTCAGCCTAGCTCACAGCAACCTCAAACTCCTGGGCTCAAGCGATCCTCCTGCCTCAGCCTCCCGAGTAGCTGGGACTATAGGCATGTGCCACCATGCCTGGCTAATTTTTTCTATACATTTTTAGTTGGCCAATTAATTTCTTTCTATTTATAGTAGAGACAGGGGTTTGCTCTTGCTCAAGCTGGTTTCGAACTCCTGACCTTGAATGATCCTACTGCCTTGGCCTCCCAGAGTGCTAGGATTACAGGCGTGAGCCACCGCGCCCGGCTCCCATTTTTAAATTGTAAGCTGAGTCTATAGGCATATGCCACCATGCCTAGCTAATTTTTTTTTTTTAGAGATGGAGTCTTTTTAAAATATATATATACACATATATATATATATTAATACAGAAGCTCAAGCAAGAGATGAGGTCTTGCTATGTTGCCCAGGCTGGTCCTGAACTCTTGTCCTCAAGCCATCCCCCTTCCTTGACCTCCCAAAGTGTTAGTATTACAGGCATGAGCCACCATGGGCAGCCTGTGGGGGTTTTTTTGTTTGTTTTTCAAAATGAATTTAGGTCACTTCTCCATTAGGACCAACTTTCTGGGAGGATGCCGTCTAATATTGCATCATTCTCATGTTCCTGCTTGATTACTTTTTTAGTAATAGAAGAATCTTTATTTAGTATGCTTTTCTTGGATTTTACCTTCATTTAAATTGGGAAACCTGAGTTCTTTTAATAGCCGCTCTCTCATAATTTGTTCAAAAACACTGTAAACAAGTTAGAATTAGTCTTACTATTAAAGAGATTCCTGTCCTCCCCCCCCCCCCCCACACTTGTTTTCCAAGTTTAGCTAGAGGCAAAGGTTAATCTTTGAAGGAGTCATGCTTATAAGGTTGGGATAGTGCTATGTGGCTGATGTTCTGCTGATTCCAGCTATAAAATGTTCTTTGGCTACCAGAAAAACAGTTTACAATATGCTGTAATGCTTGAGGTCTGCTGAGTTCTAAAAACATGGACTCATAACATAAAATGAAGAATTGTAAACTGCGTTTTTCTTTTAGTATTTGTGAAGTTCAAGTGGTTATCAGAATTGATTGAGAGCTAGATTATATTGAGTTTTAAAACTAATTCAGGAGATTAGCTACCTCTAATGGGACACCAAAATTCATGGTAATTTGGTTCTTCTTTTGGTGACAGATTTTAAAAGGGGAAATACTTTGTTATATACCATATTTACACTCATTTATTGAGCTCTGAAAATTTCAGTGGCTACAAAGGATATACATACTTTAAGTACATTTTTATATAAATAAGATTAGTTAATGGGAGTCTAATCTGGCTGGGCTCGGTGGCTCACACCTGTAATCCTAGCGCTCTGGGAGGCCAAGGTGGGCGGCTCAAGGTCAGTAGTTGGAAACCAGCCTGATCAAGGGCGAGACCCCATCTCTACTATAAATAGAAAGAAATTAATTTGGCAACTAATATATATATATATAGAGAAAAAATTAGCCAGGTATGGTGGCGCATGCCTATAGTCCCAGCTACTTGGGAGGCTGAGGCAGCAGGATCGCTTGAGCCCAGGAGTTTTAGGTTGCTGTGAGCTAGGCTGACACCAGGGCACTCACTCTAGCCTGGGCAACAAAGTGAGAATCTGTCTCAAAAAAAGGGAATCTAATCCATTATGTAAATACTACACAATATACATTAGAGTATGTTGTCTTTTATAATTTTTCATGTGTCTTTGTCTGATGTATGTTTCCATAATATGCATTCAGTAGGTATAGTAATATCACAGTTAACCTGAGGTCAGTTTTTCAGAAACCCAAAGCATCACAAACACACTCCTTCAAACAGTAGCATAAATAAATAGTTATTTAAACAATGAGCAATAAAATCAAAAAAGTTTTATATGATATGTGGACCTTCTTTTAGGTCTAAAGTTCATTTTATTCTTTACAAAATGAAAATTCAAAATAATTGACAGTTTAGGGAACTGAGCTGCAAACTGCTATAGAGTAGAAGCAATAGCAATATGTGCTTCGTCAGTGCTTTTGAGCACAGCAGTAATTCCATAGTTACAATAGCAGTATAGTTGAAGTGCAGTGGAGATTCAGCAATGAACAAAACAGACGGAAATACTTGACTTTACATATCCCTCTTATCAAGTTGGAGGAAAATAGAAAATAAACAAATGGCCAGGTGCAGTTGGCTCATGCTTGTGAGTTTAGCACTTTGGAAGGCTGAAGTAAGAGGATCACTTGAGGCCAGGAGTTCAAGACCAGCCTGGGAAGCATAGCATAACTCCAACTCTACAAAAAATAGAAAAATTAGCCAGGTGTGGTGGTACGCGCCTGTCGTCTCAGCTGTTTAGGAGGCTGAGGCAGGAGGATCACTTGAGCTCAGGAGTTTGAGGCTTCAGTGAGCTATGATAATGCCCCTACTTTCTAACCTGGGGAATAGAGGGTGATCCTATCTTAAGGAAAGAAAGAAAAGAAAGAAAAGAAAGAAAAGAAAGAAAAGAAAGAAAAGAAAGAAAAGAAAGAAAAGAAAGAAAGAAAGAAAGAAAGAAAGAAAGAAAGAAAGAAAGAAAGAAAGAAAGAAAGAAAGAAAGAAAGAAAGAAAGAAAGAAAGAAAGAAAGAAAGAAAGAAAGAAAGAAAGAAAGAAAGAAAGAAAGAAAGAAAAGAGAAAAAAGCAAATACATATTACAGAGCAATTTACTATTGTTATTGGCTGTGCCTGGAAGCAAGAAGAATGAAATTGAGTGATTAATGTAAAGACATAGGATTATGTACTTCCCCAATATTTTTTACTGAGGCATCCTTTGAGGGTTGCTTGTCCTCATTGGCCTGATACCTAAGTTCTTGTTCTCTTTTCCCTACCATAGTGTCATGTCTCATAGTCTCACTTATCTTTGACTCTTAAATTCCTGAACTCATCATGTCCTTTCTCTTTCTTCTCCCAAAATTCATCCTTGATTTATGAACTCTCAACTTACAAACTTTAAATGGTCCTTCCTTACTTCATTGTTTTGTTTAGGAATAACCATATAAAATGCCGAGTGTTTGCTAAACATTATTACCAGTTCTTCCCAGATTTGTTTCTTATTGGAACAAATCCAAAACCAAAAGGAAACTAAGTCAAGGAAAAAAACATGAAAATTAATTAGCTATAAAAATAATGACTACTCTTATGGGAATTTTATGTGATACTTGAGAAAATTTAAGCAGTTGATTTTCTGTTTTTGCCTAAATGTATGATGTACCAACAGATAAGTTATTAAGAAATTTCTTAATAGTGCCATTTGAAATTTTTCAGGCTGCTATCCATGTCCAGGGCCAAACATGAATCCTGTTGCTCTTGGAAGCCGCTGGCTTGCTTATGCAGAAAACAAGGTAAGACATGGCTCATATTTGGGTTATTTGCAATGGAGCAAGTGTTGAAGGATTTTTCATAATCCTGTGCTACATAGGTGATTACCAAGAATGAGTATTTGACTTACTGGTTTCTTTGGTTTGGGTTGGGTTTTTTTTTTTTTTTTTGTCTTTTCATTTTTTTTTTTTTTAATGTATTTTGGTTTGGTTTTAATTGTGCAACTAATAATTGAACTCTTTGAAGCGTTCATAAATGTTTGACAATGGTCCTTAAATCAGACTCTGCAGAACCTTGATTTTTTTAGACTTAGTTTTATATAGAAAACTCTAACCCATTATTATTAAAGCACAGCATAGACTGTGCTTTTCTAGAAATCAGGAGGCATAGCCATGCATGGTGGCTAATGCCTGTAATCCCAGCACTCTGGTGTGGTTTAGGGGGAGGATTGTTGAAGTCCAGGAGTTCGAGACCAGCCTGAGCAAGAGCAGACCCTGTCTCTACTAAAAATAGAAAAATTAGCCGGGTGCGATGGTACTTTCCTGTAGTCCCAGCTACTCAAGAGGCCTAGGCAGGCGGACAGCTTGTCCATGAGTTTGAGGTTGCAGGGAGCTATGATGACACAACTGCACGCTAGCTTGGGTGACAGAGCAAGACTCTCTAGAAAAATAAGAAAAAAAACAAAAACAAAAATTAGGAGACAGAGATGACTTCTGTCTTCATTGGTAAATTGGAAACCTGGGGCATAGAATAATTTAATTGACTTCAACTATATGAAAAAACTAGATCTAAATAAGGGCTTAGTCATTTGTTTTAAAAATTAAATCATACGTTCCTTTTGTTGAATTTTTCAGTTATTTATTAATTAATTTATTAAGGCCATCATAGTAAATGAAGATATTGTATTTATATACGAAGAGTTTTATTTATATCTACTTCAAGGTAAAAGGTAAATTTGAATTTTCAAAAAGAAAAAGTAAAATACTTTTTATGTCATTTACTGCCCTGCATATGAATATAGAATGAAATCTAAAACATATTACACACTTCTAAGAAGATTCTTATGTTTGATATCATATTTGCTGGTTGCATAATTACTGTATTTTTGAAATAATATGAAATGATATGAAGTAATTCTTGACAAAATTTAGGATGTGATAAGTAATATAATTATTTGGTCAAGCCACAAACTAATAAATCTCTAGCCTTTGGAATGTACAAAATTAAGAAACTACCGAAGAAAATTATTTTTCTAGATGAATTCCTTGATACCCCATCCAAAAATCTGTCTATAGCTATTAGATATTTTGCTTCTTAATCAATCCTGTATTTATGTTCTATCCTGTTATTTATCTTGATTTTCCACTATATCTCATAAAAATACCTCTTTTCAAATTATCTTTTTTTTTTTTTTTTTTTTTTTGAGACAGAGTCTCACTTTGTTGCCCAGGCTAGAGTGAGTGCCGTGGCGTCAGCCTGGCTCACAGCAACCTCAGTCTCCGGGGCTCAGCGATCCTACTGCCTCAGCCTCCCGAGTAGCTGGGACTACAGGCATGCACCACCATGCCCAGCTAATTTTTTGTATATATATTTTTAGTTGGTCAATTAATTTATTTCTATTTTTGGTAGAGACGGGGTCTCGCTCAGGCTGGTTTTGAACTCCTGACCTTGAGCAATCCGCCCACCTCAGCCTCCCAAAGTGCTAGGATTACAGGCGTGAGCCACCACGCCCGGCCAAATTATCTTTTCAAACAAGACAAGAGGCATACAATTAAGGGTGATGATATAATGGTATCTGCTAATGTTTGTATCTGTAATACATTTCCCTTGAGTGCTGGAGACATCCAAGAAGAAGGTATATAAATTGTCCCTTGGCTTTTGTAGATGTGTTCTCGCATGTGGGAAAGTGTCCATTTGGAATCGGAGGTATCATGTAAATTGTTACTTATTGTTTTTGAAGGGAAAGAACTTCTAACATAGATGCATAGCCTGGGCACCTGCCAGTTATTTTGCCTTTATAAAGATACGTGTTAATAGTATGTGGTGTCTTATATGGAGACCTAAACAATGTAGTGGTATTCTCAAGGAGTTTGGTAATCAAAAAGTTGTGCCATCATCTAGGGATATTTCTAGATAAATGTCCTTACATAGTATTTCCATAAAATCTAGTATTTATTAGTTTATGATTGTTTTAACTTTAGAGCTGAGTGTGGAATTGTAAAATTGAATTAAATTTTGGAGTAACAGTCTCTTTCAGTGAAAATACTCTTTGCCTGTAAAACCTTAAGAAGCTGGTAAAATTAGAGTACATATACACACACATAAATACGGATATACGCACGTATATTTTAGAAATAATGAGTTCGCATTGATGTTTTTTTATATATTTTTTAATTTTTTTATTTTTAAGATTTTTAAATTTTATCTTTCTTTTTATTTTTTATTATTGTCCAGAGTACGAGGGGACGCATTGATATTTTGATAGGGTTTTTTCTTGCCTTCCCAATTTCTTATTTATATGTCCCTTATTTTGCACAGTAGACCCCGACCTCAGCCATCTACTCATTTGTTCAATATTATAATAGAAGAAACAAAATTGCAAGTTGCCTGTCCATACCAGTAAAAAAAAAAAAAAATCAAACCAAATAGAAAGATTTCATGATTTTTTTTAACAATTATACCCACTCTTGTCGCTGCCTAACACTAAAGGTATGCACTAAAATAGTATATTCATAGCTTATTTTTCTTAATTTGTTCTTCATCCCTCTCTCTCTCTTCCTTCATCTTTCTATGGTTTTATTTGATATGTAATTATTTTTCTTTTTGTATTTATGTTTATTTTTTATGTTTATATATTTTTATATATATTATTTTTAATATTTCCTTTACTTTCACAAATGGTAACATAGTAATTATTCCATATGATAGAGATTTGCACTGTTGAGAATTCTGGGTCATCTTTAATTTCGTTGAACCAAGATACAAAATGTAGTTTTCTGAGGAGTTTAAATTTTAGACCAAAATTTCTGGCTTAGTTATTTTTATGTAGACATGCTTAGTCAGTTGTGGTTGAATTTGAAAGGTTATAGAGTTATTTATTTTTACATGTTTGTCCTTGAATATTTTAACTACCTGAAGTGGTGAATAAATGAAGACTTTCCAAAATATTGTCTTTCCTTGCTCATGCAGCAGGAGGCAGCAGAGGGATAATTTTGATAATTATTTGAATGTGTATTTGTGGATGAATGAATGAGTGAGTGAGCTTCTATTCTTTATATTAGCTAAAATGATGACTTTTCAAATTCTTTATTTTACTCTAAGTGAAACCATATTTGCTGATCGCCTGCCTATCTTTTGGAAAATTCCTCACCATTCTTTTGGAAATCTTAAGCAATCTTTCAATGTGGTGTAAGTGCGTAAAAAAATGCTTTACATCGCTTATCAGACTTTTAAAGGTGTTCCATTCTGTTCTGTTAATATTGCTTTTAAGGGTTTTTTAAAAAATATTGTCAATGATGAAGAAAATTTTGAGTTAAGAATAAAAGGATAATGTGTTAATCTTCATTGAAGAACCTGGTTTTAAACTATGTAAAACTTGTAAAATTTTTATGTTTTGAGAGATGTAGATTCTTTGTGAATTCCAGAGGCTTTAAAAAACTCATAATGTGGTGCTGTTTTAATACTCTTATTATTTTATTTAAAAAATTGTAAACATACAAATCTGGGTAATGATTTTTTTTCTCTAAATGTAGGAAGTATTGTACCAGCGGAAAATTTAATCCTGGTTTATTGCTTGGCATGTGAGAGAATCATGCGTATCAAAGAGTGATTCATTTGAAAATTGGCAGGTTGATTTATTTATGTCAGGAACGAATAAGGGCACGTCTTTTTCATTCCTAATGGTAAAAGCAATAAGCCCTCTGAAGTGGACATAGTTAATTTATGGATAATTTGTGCCACTTTTCCAATAACATAATTGAAAATACCAACATGGCAAAATATTTTCTCTAATATTTGTTTCCTTTTACAATCGTAGTGGAGGAATTAAGAGGACAAAACATTCAGGTTGTTAGGTAGCATGTTAAATATTTAACGTTAGAAAGTGACATGTAAGTCCTTTGATCATGTTTTTAAAATGTATTTGTGGAAAGGGTGCCAGATCCCAAACCCTACCATTTCAGAGTTTATGAATTCTTAAAGTATATTCATTGTGTAATTAAAACTATAGTTGAGCATGAAACTGTCTGAATGGCACCAGTAGATTATAAAAAGGGGTAAAAGTGTGTCAGCAGGGCACTCATGCAAACATTCCCATGCATCGCTATCATTATGCATGGTAAATAAGCTCTATCCTAATAGCCTGTGGAGTTAAACAATTTAATGGAAATGACTTTTTGGTTTTCCTCTCTCTCTCTTTCTCAGTTGATTCGATGTCATCAGTCCCGTGGTGGAGCCTGTGGAGACAACATTCAATCTTATACAGCCACAGTCATTAGTGCTGCTAAAGTGAGTACCTCAGAAGTTTCTGGGAGTTGTGATTAGGTGGAGTAATTATCAGGTTTCCTCTCTTGAATTGTATTGAGATTGTCCCTTCCATTTTTATTTTCAAATGTGGAATAAACTTAAGTAAATCACAATTTTTTTTGTCACTCATGAATATTGGTGACTACACGATTTGGTATTTTATTTTCTATTGTAATGATTGTAGGGTTTGTACTCATCCAATTTTAAATATTTAAGCCTGTTAGCAAGCTTAAAGTCTTATCTAATTAATATCACATTTGAAAGAAGATTTACATGTTTTAAAGTGACTTCTGGATTCTTTGTCTGTGATTTTCCTTATCCTTACTGCACTGACACATCCCTTTGCATCTTTGAACATTTCTAAGTCTTGTTCACATGAAAGAGTATCATTCCTCATGAAAACTTGAGTCAATCTCTTGGCACTTTCAAAGATTCTTTCATGTCAAGGGGCTGCCCCTTCATGTTTGTCAAGTGAGTTCTTTTTGTGTGTGTGAGAGTTAATTTTGATGATGGCTGGTAAACTTTATGTTGACTATAAGGTATTTTTGTAACCACTATCCTTTTGAAATTGTGAAATATACAACAAAACAATTCTAATAATAGGGATGACAGAGTGAATCACAATGACAGTATGTAATAGAATGCACAACTATTCAGAAAAGAACAACAGTTTAAAGTAAACCACAGGGAAGGAATCGAAGGTCACGCTGTTTTATTTAAAACAAACACAAATATATTTCAAGATTGATCGCAAATGCTTATATGATGTGCAGTAAATGTGTTGCTTGGTTTGATGGGAGAAACTTTACATGTTTTTCACCCAAAAGGGAATTAATGAATATATCTTTATGATTATAGCACTATATTTTTTAGACTTTAGGAATATTTAAATTATGGTTATTTTGATGAAGAGCAATCTAAGACAGTAATTAGGAAACATCTTCAGTGTCAGTCTATTAGTTTATTCACAACATACAGCAAGATCTGTTTCTCAAGTGTTATACTCCTTTTAGACTTACCCTTTTCACACATTTGACTCAGAATAGCTAATCTTATTATTATTTTGAGTAATTTTCTGTTATGGAATGGGTGATAACTTTTCAGCTCTTGTTTGCTATTATTATGTATTTATGTGCTTACATAAAAGTAAAGTGACCTTCATTCAGTAAGTGTTTTGCTATGAGCTACACAGAAGGCTACACTTAATATGTTTTGAAAATAACAAGTGCAGACTCCATACTTTCCCACACCTCAATATTGGGAACTGTGAGGCATATACTTGTGTCTTCCATGTTAAAGGCTCTAAGAAATTGTTTAATATAAACCTTAATCTGGTCAGTTTCCAGGAGGCCACTGATCACCAGTAGGTTGATTGGAATTTATTATTAGCTAGGACAATATATAAAATTCTTCCATTTGCTTTTGAATAAAGTGTGTACTGTTTAATTTTAGTTTAGTTGTTTTTTGCGTAATTTTAATGCTTATTCATATTTATAGTTGTGAATTTACAAAATGAAGGAAGAGATTCAGTCATGAACATTAAATTCACCCATTTTTGATAGCCTTGTGTGTCTATGTATGTATACATACACATTTACACATTTAATTTTTAGAGACACTTTCAATCCAATCATATATTATACTCTGACCTTTATAACTTGTACCTAACTCAAATGCCATTAAATATTTTTGAAAACATTTTCTTGTATTCACATATTGTTACATTTTTCAGCTAAAACTTTTACCAAAGAGGGATTTTTCATTTTACTTTCAAGATGTGGGTATTTTATATAGAAAAGAAGAAAAGTTGGAATGCTTGCATTCCCTAAATGGTTATTTCTCCCAATAAGGTACTGGCTATTACCTGTGGTTAAATTAGCCTTCTAACATTTAAAACAGTTCCAATTTTATCTGGTAACTACATCAAAATGACTGCTATAATTTACATAATTCTACATATATTCTCTGTCCTTGTTATTATTCCATTATGGGTTATACTCCTATTAGTTCATTACACTTATAATTCCTGTGTTTTTCTGTTTGAGGGAGTATAAAGTTTATTTGACGGGAAGAAAACTCAAAAGATGTGTTCAGACATAGAAACCTTCCCCAGAGAATTCTATCTCACAATTAAGAATAAACAATGACAATATTGCAAAGACTCTTCAGAGAATGAGAAAAGTCAGATTATTCCTAATCTTGTTTCATGATGCCAGATCACCTTAATACCAAAACTTTACAAGGGCATTACAAAAGAGAAAAAAACTACAGTCCTAACTAATAAACAGAGATGTGAAAAATCCTAAACAAAATATTAGCCAAAAAAAACGAAGCAATATATAAGATGTAGAATATGCCATGATTCATTTGTGATAATTCTATAATACAAGGCTGATTTATCACTCAGGATCAATGAGTGTAATTTGTACATTTAACAGTAGAAAATTATGTAACTATCTCAATAGATGAACAAAAAGTATTTGAAATTGAACATATGTTCATTGATAAAATCTTTTAGAAAATAGAGGTAGTTTCTAGTTCTCTGGATTTCCATTTTCCTCTAATTTTCAAACTTCTTTAAACACAGTAAATCTGGTTTTATTAAAAGCTGTTTCTGATAACTCCTACGTTTGGCTCCCTTTTGGGTCTATTTCTGATGTTCGTTGTTTCTGCTGGTTCTCTCATTTATGATGTCTTTACTCTTTGTTTGCCAGAATTTATTTCAAAAATTTTAGAAACAATTATCACTTTGAGATGATAATGGAGTTCTGGGACACTCTCAGTCTTGGATCATCATAGTCCAATTTCATGGATTGAGATTATTAAAATTATTTAAAGGAAGCTTACTTGAGAGCTGTGCTCACCTTATTGCTATAGATTTACTCTTCTATCATATATCTTTATGTTTTAAGCCAAAGCTTAGTGGGGATGTCACCAGGTATAAACTCCCTTGGCAGGCCTTTGATTCTAGTACATGACCTCCTAGTTCTATAAGTCTATCAAAAATACCACTTAGTCTCTTAGCAGCTCCTTGTAGAATCAACAGATACCTCCAGAGTCTAGGTGTAAAGGGCAAGCTGAAATGCCTAGATTTCCCTGCTCTTTTGGATTTTGACCTAGTAACTCTTCACTATCTTGTTAAATATTCAGTACCTTCAAGCAGCATTTTATAAAAATATTCTCTCCAATTTTCTTAGTTGTTCTCATTGGTAGGATTGATCTGATTTACCTAGCTTGTCATTATGGAAAATAGAAAATAAAATTTCTCATTATTTCTTATAATTTTATCCTTTCTACGTAATATGGTATTTTTTGAGATAGAACATGAAAAGTATGTAAAAAGCCATGTAGTATGTGCTTCTTGAGAAAAATACTTATCTTAAAATAATTGTACAGATAATTTCATGGTTAAATCACTTCCTCTGAAAGAGTAATTAACTCTTACTCTTTTAGATGACTCAGTTTCCTATGTGGCTTCATAGAGGTTATTTAACCACTTTGGTATATAGGGGGATTAATTACTAATGTTTTGTTTTTAAATTTTTTTGTCTGATTGTGTAATTGTGAGGATAAATATATTCATTGCATATTCCCTTGGAGCTCCTTAGAGGAAATAATCATTTTTATACTTTCTGTATTTCCAAATAGCATCTGTATAATATTTATACTATTGGCTTTATTCTTTTGATTTTTGTAAGAATTGATTTAGTTTTCTATGGTAGTGATAAAGGAAAAAAATTAATATTGAAATTATTCAAGAGAGATTATTTGACACATTTATAATATATTATTTGATATTTTGTAGTTCCCTCGTAACTGTCTTATTTAATGTGTTTTAACCCCAGTGTGGTCAATCGATTTAATAAAAATGCCTCTGTTTTCTCTTGTTATCTGATAACTTCTTAATGACAGCTAACAGCTTTTGTGAGAGCAGCACCATTAGCACTAATGGATAGGGAGGACAACTGATACAGCATGGGAAAGGTTAAAGATGACTAGTGACCCTTTGGCAAATCTGCTTGCAACAGAACAGAATAAGTACCATGCTCATTTGAATTATAGGTCATAACGGATTTTCTCACACTTTTGTTATAATGTCCAGCTGTCTTACAGCTACAGCTTAGTTCTGTGAGTACTCTTGTATAGTTTAATTGGGGATTTAATGAACTTTTAAATTTAGATACCTCAAATTGTGAGGACAACTCAGTGTAATTTATCATTTCCATTTGGCTAATTTAGATTTCTGTATTCCTAATTTTTGCTTAGCCTTTATAATTTTTGTATGTATTTGAGGAAATTTTCAGATATGTACATACCCTATCTATTAAACTCAGGTGGAAAGACAAATTACCGTGAGGTGAATTAGATTTATAAATATGGTGTCTCAGAATTGTTAAATAACATTATTCATTACTTCTGGTTGTACGTATAGATGTGCTTGATTCTGACGTGGAAACAAATTTACCCTAAAAGCAAAGGCCTTTACTAATGCAGAAAATTTCCAGCACTCCTCTCCTACCTCTGTCCCCCTGCATAGCTAATGAGCTATGATAAATAGTACTGTCTTATAACTTACTATGAAAATTGCAGATTTGATAATGATTAATTTTTAAGTTTAGATTTTTGTCCACTAATAAGATGACTTCATCAACACTCATAGGTTTTTAAGAAATATCAAGAACTCTTCATGTAATACGAGCCTCTGACTATGAAACATACTGTTTTTTCCCTTTTTGTAGATCATTTCCCTGGTTATCTTATGTTAGCTTTCACCATTGTCTTGTGATTTGCTTTGGTACATTACTTTCCACTTTTCATGTGCTCCAGTTCTTTTAGTTTTATTCCTGTTCATTTCTATAAGAGCATGAAATAATATGCTTGGGGCAAATGGGGATGATATACAACCAAAGACTTTAAAAAACTAAAAGGCATTCCTTTGATAAAGGGGCAGTTACAGTTAAGTGGGAGCATCTCCATTAGCATTAATGGAGTAGGTACATCAGCTGAGGCATCTCAGAGGTTAATCAGGCTTCCTGGCCTGCTCTTGACATCAATACACTGTGGTGCCTAATTCTGTTGGTCCGTCAGAGGCTTACTTGACAACATTCTAACAGACTTTGTGTAAGTCATTTCTTTTGAATTATTGAAACAAACGTTTCGCTGCTAATTGAGGAATGCTAATGTGTTTTATAATCACTGCAGTTTGAGTTTTTAGTAGTAAACAAAACAGTTATAATTGATTTGTGGCTTTTTCTTGGTTTTAGTCTACTGTAAGTTACATCTTTTTGCTTGAATTCAGCAGATGGCTTTGCTGGTCATTTAATTTAAGTCTTTATTAGCGTACATTATTTTGGTTCTTAATTTTTCTCCCCCCCTCCCCAATCAGATATCTGTGCTTTGTATTCATTAACTGAGATCACAAATAGTAACATGAATATTCGATTACAAGGCAGTACAGGATAGTGGTTAAAAATCAGACTCTGGAGACTTAGTTTTGAATTCTGACTCTGTCATTGGGTACCTGTTTGAGCTGCCATTTTGCTTAACTTTCCATGCCTTAATTTTCTCTTTTATAAAATTAGATTGTTTGAGGAAATCTATAGACAGTTTATGTCATGAGCCTTTACTGATAGGAAAGAAATGACAGAACATAGCTAGAGTAAAGTAATGCATATACTACTGGTGTTAGTTATATGATGTTTTAATAGAAAATTTCCTTGGAAAATACTTTTATCCTTAAATTTTAATATAATTGTTGCTTAAATCACATTTGGACCTTTAATGTTTGATTATTTGTTTGATTATTATGGCTTTTTCCCCACCATGCTGGCTGTAGGTATTTTACTGATGCCATTCCCCTCAGACTAATGTGGATGTTCTATCTAAAAGCCAAGATCATGTTAAAAGTCAGTCTGAATTTCTGTGACAGTTTGCTGCTATATGAAAGATTATAAGAGAATAAAGAATTTTAACACAATGAATAGGAGACTTAATAAACTGCATATTTCTGTTCAGAATCCAAATACTGATGTGAAATCATAACATTTTACTATTCTTTGTACAGACATTGAAAAGTGGCCTGACAATGGTTGGGAAAGTAGTGACTCAGCTGACAGGCACACTGCCTTCAGGTGTGACAGAAGATGATGTTTCTATCCACAGTAATTCACGACGGAGTCCTTTAGTCCCAGGAATCATCACAGTTATTGACACTGAAACAGTTGGAGAGGGCCAGGTAGGAACTTTTGGTACTTGTAATGTTTGTTACCTGGAGAGGTTGTGCTAAGATCAAGATCAGCAAAAAAGTATTTGGCCTAGGAAATTATTAATTTGGAATTTTAGAAATTGAGATTATTCCAGGTCAGATTTTTCTTCAACAAGTGATGAGTGACGTGTTAGTACCTATTATTTCAAACATTATGAATGTGTCAATCCTGAAGGTAAAGTAGAGGTTCTCTTATATCTTTGTGAGGATATTTGTTTCATAAATAAATAATTATATAGCTCTTTGTACTGTTCTCTTCATAATGTTTCTTTTTTTGTGTGTAATGTCATTTGTTATCACATAAATCATAAGATTAATACATTTATTTTTAAAGGCATGCCCTTATTTATTTGGTGGAAATTGAAAAAAATAATTGATGATTGCAAGTAATATAATTTAGTGAATAATATCAAAATTTATAATATATTTCCTTATCAATATAAAAAATAATATGTGAAATCTTAAAGTAACATATTAGAATACAGACACTGTAATAGTTATTATAAAACCCTGTATTTTCAGATAAAACAATTCTTTGAAATTTTAAAAATTTAGGTTGTTTTTTTTTCTGACATATAAAGAGCTTAGAGAAAAAGATCTAGGTTTAGAAATATTTAAAATGGGTAATTATGAGCATGGAAATATATGTTATGCGTGCATCTAAATCTTGCTGGGAAGATATCAATTGGGTTGTGTTTTTCCCCCATACACTCATAAAGTTTTTCTTTTGTATCATAGCCTTCATTCAAAAAATAAATTTCTTAATAATAGTTTGTAATCATTGCTAAAAATATAAAATCTAAAACCAAGTCTTAGATTGAGATAAGATTAGGGCAGTATACACACATGGAACTAAAATAAAAAAAAAAAAAAAAGTTAGGGCAGTGTTTGTGTTATAAGTTTTTTTTTTTTTTTTTTTACTTTTTATATAGAATATATATTTAATCCTATATTCAGAACACAATGACTGGAAACTATGTGAGCCTTTAAAGTGTTAACCTTAAATATTGCATGTTCTTCTGAGAAAATCTGCTTCCAGTATATATAGGTTGACATCTTGACGAAAGATTGCATTTGGCAGCTACTCATGTGTTAGTTTCTATGGTAGTATCAAGGGTACTTGAAAAATATGTGGACCTTACTGCAATTAAAACAAAAAAATCTTTGAAAATTTGGGTTATTAAATTTGGCTATAATAGTTTATTTGAAATATGAATAATAATAATTCTCTGACTCTCTTATCTCTGTGGTTAACCAAATATGTTACAGGCTTGTATTTTTTTTAATGAAATGCTAGCAAAGTTTTTTTTTTTTTTTTTTTTTTTTTGAGACAGAGTCTCGCTTTGTTGCCCGGGCTAGAGTGAGTGCCGTGGCGTCAGCCTAGCTCACAGCAACCTCAAACTCCTGGGCTCGAGTGATCCTTCTGCCTCAGCCTCCCAGGTAGCTGGGACTACAGGCATGTGCCACCATGCCCGGCTAATTTTTTATATATATATATCAGTTGGCCAATTAATTTCTTTCTATTTATAGTAGAGACGGGGTCTCGCTCAGGCTGGTTTTGAACTCCTGACCTTGAGCAATCCGCCCGCCTCGGCCTCCCAAGAGCTAGGATTACAGGCGTGAGCCACAGCGCCCGGCCGCTAGCAAAGTTTTTAGTTGATTATAATGATTTTGTGTCTGTGTGTGTTAATTAGCTGCTGTGGATAGACACAAATGTTTTCTTTGTAAATTGGAATTAAATACATAATAAACCTTTACAGTTATGAGTGTTAGAGTAAAAAAATTTCCTTTTGTTCTTTGATTTTTTTTATTCTTAATCAATTCATGTACATGACCACTCACATTTACTGGGTAGTAATAACCCTCAACATTGTCTAGGACCATGCATCTGTTAAAAATAGTATTTGTTGACAGAGAGATTTGTGATCATTTCAAAGTAGAAAATGTTATCTCAATATTTTTTGATAATAGAGATGTAACTTGTATATGAATTTATTATATTGAAGTATAGGAACATATAAAATAATTATATAAAAAGCATAATCTTAGGTCTTATTTTAATGTGGTTTAATTTTTTTCTTCAAGTTTATTAACTATGATTTTAAAAATGGGAGTCTCAGTTTTGGAGTATGAAAATAGACTACAGATTGTGGAATTGTAGGAGTTCATTTGACTGTGATGAATGCATTAACACTTGAAATGAATAAAGATATTGATTAGGTAGAATCATAAAATTTTAGCTTTAAAAATAATTGTTTCTGTCATCTGCTTTTAGAATTTATTTAACTGATGTGGACATTTTATATTTTTTCTTCATTCCTAAAGTAGAATTCTAACCTTAATATTGATAAGAACAATCTTTTGGTATAGTGTAAGAATGTTATTTGATCAAGGGTATTGTGATGTACCTGTGTATTATCTTCAATTCAAGATCAGTTATGGGTGAGAAAATATTAACTTCCATTTGTCTTTATTCCTTTTGTGAAGGTGCTTCTGAGTGAGGATTCTGACAGTGATGGTATTGTGGCCCACTTCCCTGCCCATGAGAAGCCAGTGTGCTGCATGGCATTTAATACAAGTGGTAAGTTGTTGTTGTTATTTATGTCATGAATTTTCCAGCCAATATTTTGGAAATCTGACTTAAATTTTTAAAAGACATAGAAGCTGACTTTTTAAATGCATCAGTGTATAGCAGAAAACTTAGCGATTATTGAATAAATGCATTCATAATAAAAATGTAGAACCCTCTAAAATCCATCTAAAATTAGTTTGTCTCTCAATTAAAGTGGTCATTAAATAGCAGCTGTAGATAATCAGTGCTGTTGAGTTACATTAATTTCTGTATATAATTATCTCAAGAACTTCGGTATTCCAAATTGGATCTTAATACATATATGCACAGCATTTTCCTTGTAACGTGAAGTTTTTTGATAACTTAAGATGTTTTATAAGCTGGTTTATTTTAATTTTCACTGTTTTTTGGTGGTGCTCTTTGTTTTTCTACACGTTCTTAAGGCACTTGATAAGAAGAGATGTGATAGCAATTTGGAATGCCCTGTTACTTCTCACTTTTATCCCAAAGTTTTTACTATGTAGAGTTCTAAACATAAAAATAAACTCAAAAAGTAGTACAGTAGTGACCCATGTAGCACTATCTAGGTTAAAAAGATATTCACATTTTAATATGTATCTATACCTATGTAGCACTATCTAGGTTAAACAGGTAATCACATTTTAATATGTATGCATGCATTTGTGTGTGTGTGTGTGTGTGTGTATATATATATATATATATATGGCATGTATGTATGTTTTGCTGAAACATTTGATTATGTTACATGTGTTGCGACATTAGGTGGAAATTTCTTAGGAAATTACCCATGCATTTTCTAAGAATAAGGACCTTCTCAACATAACCAAATATTACATAATACTTTATATTGACTATTATCCAACCCATATATTAAAATTTCCCTATTATCCCAAAAATATGTTCTATAACTGCTTCAAAGCAAGGTCTAATCAAGGTTTACTCCGTACCTTAAGTCTCTAGTTTCTTTTAAAATAGCATATAATTTACACCTATTAAGTTTCTTTTTGCAATATTCATACCAGTTTTATTGAAATTCTGCATTTGTCAGATATTTTCAGTATGATAATGTTTTTTTTTTTTTGTCTCTATTCCCTGGATTTCCGTTAACTGGAAGATAGGTCTAGAGGCATAAATTCATTTAGACTAAGGAATTTTTTGTTTGTTTTCAGACTTTGTAAGTATTGCTATCTATACAGTTTCATCCTAGTAAAAGACACATTTTGTGAGGTTGTCCCCCTATATGTGCTATTTTGTTTGATCACATGGGTAAGGTAGAGACCATCAGATGTCTACATTTTGGAAATATGTTTTTCCTGTGGAGATTAGTAAGTATTCTGTGGAGTGTTATTTTGACATCATTTCTGAAACTATTTTTTTTTGTCATTTAAGGTATTTTTTAAAATTTTTTTTTAAATTTCAGCATATTATGAGGGTGAGCTTCAAGTGTGTCCATCCCCCAGATGGTGCACGTTGCACTCATTATGTATGTATATACCCATCCCCTCCTCCCCCCTCCCATCTGCCCGATGCCTGATAAATGTTATTCTTATATGTCCACTTAGGTGTTGATCAGTGAAACTAATTTGCTGGTGAGTGCATGTGGTGCTTATTTTTCTGTTCTTGAGATCTTTCACTTAGTAGAATGGGTTCCAACTCTATCCAGGAAATACAGGAGGTGCTATATCATCATTGTTTCTTATAGCTGAATAGTATTCCATGGTATACATAGACCACATTTTATTAATCCACTCATGTATTGATGGGAGCTTGGGTTGTTTCCACATCTTTGCAATTGTGAATTGTCCTGCTATAAACATTTGAGTGCAGATGTCTTTTTTATAGAATATCTTTTGTTGGAGAGATGGTGACTTTCAAGGTCTCCCCAGATGTGCACGTTGCACTCATTATGTATGTATAACCCATCCCCTCCCCCTCCCATCGCCCGATGCCTGATACAATGTTTCTTATATGTCCACTAGGTGTTGATCAGTGAAACTAATTGCTGGTGATAGCATGGGTGCTATTTTTCTGTTCTTGAGATCTTTCACTTAGTAGAATGGGTTCCAACTCTATCCAGGAAATACAGGAGGTGCTATATCATCATTGTTTCTTATAGCTGAATAGTATTCCATGGTATACATAGACCACATTTTATTAATCCACTCATGATTGATGGGAGCTTGGGTTGTCCACATCTTTGCAATTGTGAATTGTCCTGCTATAAACATTTGAGTGCAGATGCTTTTTTATAGAATATCTTTGTTTTTTGGTAGATGCCCAGTAATGGGATTGCTGGACAAATGGTAGATCTACTTGTATCCTTAAGCTATCCTCCATATTGCTTTCCACAGAGGTGCACTAGTTGCATTCCACCAGCAGTGTAGGAGTATCCTGCTCTCCACATCCCACGTCTACATTATTTTTTGGGACTTTTTTTTTTTTTTAATTTTTATTTGCATATATGGGGTAAGATTTAAGGTTTCAAATCCCATTTTCCTTCCCCCCAAAAGTCTGATCTCCATCATGACTCCCATCAGGATGGTGCACAATTCACTCATTATGTATTATACACTCCTCCCTCCACCTGCCCAATACCCTATACTGTAGTACCTATGTCACTTAGGTTGTACATTATACCAGTTTTCTGGAGAATATTATCAGTGCCTTGTTTTCCATCTTGGGATACTCACTTATATATGGTGTCCAGCTCTAACCAGGAAATATAAGATGTGATATCCACATTCGTTTCTTAGAGCTGAATAGTACTCATGGTATACATAATACCACATTTTATTAATCCATTCATTTTTTTTGATGATGGCATTGGCTGTTCCACAGCCTTTGCAATTAATGAATTGTGCTGCTATAAACATTCGAGTGCAGGTTTCTTTTTTGAGCAGTGTCACTGATTTGGGATAGTGCCCAGCAATGGGATTGCTGGACAAATGGTAGATTGCTTGTATCGCTTAAGGTATTTCCACATGCTTTCTCCACAGAGGTTGAACTAGTTTGCAGTCCCACACAGCATGTAGATGTTCTCTCTCGTCCGCAACCACGCCAGCAATTTATTGTTTGGAATTTTGATAAAAGCCATTCTCACTGGGGTTAATGATATCATTGGGTTTGGATTTGCATTTCCCGTGATGATTAGAGATTGTTAGCATTTCTTCATATTGTTGTTTGCCATTCTTCGTCTTCTTAGAAAATTTCGTTCAAGTCTTTGCCCACTTTTAATGGGTTATTGATTTTTTTTCCTAATTTTCGTGAGTCTAAGTATACTAGTTATCAGTCCCTATCGTGCATAGGATGCAAAAATTTCTCCCATTTCTGTAGGTTTGTCTGTTTACTTCATGACTATTTCTTTGGCTGTGCAGAAGCTTTGTAGTTTTGATCATGTCCCATTTTTTTTTTTGTGCTGCTGTGATTGCTTGGGACTTCTTCATAACCTCTTGCCTAGGCTGATGTCTAGGAGAGTGTTTCCAACTTTTTCCTCTAGAGTGTCAAAGTTTCATATCTTTAGTTTAAGTCTGTATATCCAGCGTAAGTTGTTTTGTGAGAGGTGAAGGTGGGTCCTGGTTTTGAGCCTTCTACAGGTGCTATGCCAGTTTTCCCAGCACCATATTATTGGAGAGATTCTTTTCCCCAGCGTTATGTTTTGTCTCTTTGTAAGATAAGAGCTAATAGGATGGTTTTAATCAGGATTCTCACATCTGTTCCACTGGT